GCTGGCACAGCATTGTGGAGATAGATATGCAAGTATGAGAAAACCTTCACATACATGCATCTGTCATGTCCTGACGTAGTGTTTTTGCCTCACTTCTCTCCCTCCGAGCCTCTCCTACGGTTACAAAATCTCTTGATAAAGCCAGACTTTTCTCAGTAAAAGTTGTACTGATGAAATGAATGATAACATTCATTCATTTTACCTGCTCAATCAATCGATCAGTTGCCCAAAATATGGCAATTTTCACACAATCTGGAGAAGAGGATCATGTTGTTATGACAAGTTTTTGAGAAGTTAGAAATAAAAGTGACAAGATGAGGCCTCCATTTTTTTTTTGTTTTTTATAGTTCAAAGAATGCAACATGCTTGTGTCATTTCTAGACCACTGCAGGCTGGACTGCTGCAAGGAAAGGCACTGTTGTTTTGTGGTGTTGAGTCCTTCAGCACCGATGACCTCCAGGTCCAACAGGAACAGAACATGCAGTAGAACTTGAACGACACATTCTGGGGGACATGTCACACTTTGATGAAAAATTATCACAATATGGGACCTTTACGTGCACCGTGTTCCGTATGTTGTATTCTAGATTTTACCCTTGCTGTAAATGTTGAAAAAAAATTATACGGGAAATGTGGTGGAGCAAGAACCTGCATGTAGCTGAGGTGGGGCGTCCTTTACATTTTCATACACGTGGGTGACTTTTGCTACAAATACCAGATTTACTGTATGGTGCCCTCACTGCAATATGGGTAGTTTTGAATGTTTTTTAAGAGTTTTACATATTATTTTATTTTTAACTTTTTCTTTGGCACAACCACTTTCTCGTTTTCCTAGTTTTAAAGAAACTTTTGTCTGTAAATTCTGTAAATACTTTCGATGAGGCGCTACTGCATCCCAAACATTCTTTCTTTTCAGTTTCCTCATTCCTTCATAGAGCACCTGCACTAATACGTGCATGAATCTGGTGAGGTATTTTGATTTCTGAGATGCATTTAAGTCATTTTATTTCATTAAAAAGATGGATTCTAATCCATTTATCATTTTTTTCCTAAACTAAAAGTATAAAAAATGTGTCAGTATGCATTGCTAAAACATGACATAATAAAAACATATGCTGCCTATGCAGGACGTAATTAAAAATTAGTTTAAGTTTCTGAAGTCATCCATAAAGGAAATCTCAGGGGTGATGTATTCCTAAAACTCCTTTATGTATTCCAATCATCTTACACGTCAATATTAGACAGGAAGTCTTCCTTATCTTCATGTTCTGGTGTAGTGATGCTGGTAGGCGTGGGTTTAGTCTCTTCCAGCAGCTGTTTCTCCAGAGCTGCATCTTCTGGACTAAGTTCCTCTCCTTTGGTCATCACATACACAAAATATTCAAAGCCTTCTCCGTAACTGTGGTGTTTGATCGACCAGTCGTACTCGGCGCGAGCGTACAGGCGTTTCCTGAAGAAAGGCTGCGCAAAGGTAACAGAGATGAAGCGTCCTCCGGGTTTCAAGCAGCGACTGATCTAAGAGAAGAATAAAAAAAAAACAGCAGGAGAGGAGGATTAGGAGACATGAATGAATTTTTGTAACTTAACCAGGATCATTTATAAGCTAGTCGATTATTTTTGTGACTTTATTCGTTCTTTATTTGAGAACCAAGGAGGCAGAAGTCATAAAAAAAAGGGTGGAGTATGAGATGCAATAAAATAATAACATGATCACAAACTTTAGCAGTTGTTTGCTTTGACATAACCACCACTCATAAAAATCAGATCATGGGGCAGCTGATAGTAACTAAGGATAACCAAGCAAAACAACCTCCCATCGGGCGGTAATAAGCTCAGTCAGAGTTTAGAATGAGCTGCAGTCGGTGAGCTGTTGTGAACCTGCTGCCAAAAACCCACCGATGACTAAAGCCTGCTGAAGACATCATCAATGAAAACATACTGTTGTGAAGTAACAAAAAAAAACCTTTCGCCAAAATACGAGGACGACTCATCCGAACAACCGCAAACTTAACACTGCACTTCCTCGGGTCCCCAATACGATACACCCAGTACACCTGCTAAGTGTGAAATGGATCGGATGAACAGTTGTCGAGAAAAGCAAAGCGACAGACACACACACAGATTCTCTCATTTACGACTTAGATGAAGACAAACCACAAGAGCTGAAACATTCAGACCCAACATGTGTCCATTTGGACGGAACAAAGTTGTGCTCAAGTCTTGGCTCATTTAAGCGTTAATTATAAGAGGAGCTGCTGTGAGTCTCTTTACTGCTGCGTCCTTCTGCTGTCACCAGTGTTATGCATTAAGCAGATTTCATCATTTGATTGTCTCATTCATTCATCTCTTTACTGAATCAAGAAATCCAGATGTGCATGTGTTCTTTGCCTATTTTGGCAACCGTTTGTCAGATCCACTTCAAACTCGGCCGGTGCATCGCTGGAGGTAGGCAGGTTTGGAAATCGGTGAAAAATCTACAGTCGTGCCTTTCGTGTCGTTGCTTAGCAAGAGGGGCAACTTAGGCCACGGGTAGCCAGAAGGCCCGTCGAGGGTGCTTTTGTGAAGGCGTATTAGGAAAGAAGTTTTTGCCAAAATTTGAAGACCCGCACTTCTGAATGACTTCAGACTCGTCACTGCACTTTCTCGGGTCTTCGTCAATACACCTGTCAAGTGTGAAGTAGATCAGACGAAGGGTTGTCCAGAAAGGGAGAGAACAGACACACACACACACAAACATACACACTTCATTTATTAGGATGATGTTTGTGTTTTCACTTGCATCTCTTTACAGGAATTAAAACAGTCAGTCAAGTTTCCTAATGTGCAAGTCCATCGTCAATAACAACCTCCACTGAGTACATTTCTGTATGTGTGTCTTTTAGCAAAAACTGATTCCCGAAAATTTGAAAACAAAACCTATATAAATATAGTTTTCTAAGGTTTTGTGGTATCTTTGAAATAAAATCTAAATCGGACAAATTACATCTCTCTGGATATTTGTTCTTTGTTTTACACGTTGACATTAAATTCCACTCACCAACAAGTACTTCTGTTCATCCGCAAAATACCAAAGTTATCAAACAGGTACACACATTTGCATCACAGTGAGCCAGAGCACACTTTAGCCGCCTGAGTTTTTTCGGCCCACAGTGCCTGCTGCTAAGCCATGCAGTCTGATAACGCGGTGTGACAGCATGACAACTGTGAGTTTCCCTTCATATGAATAATTATTGGTCTGGTTCCCGCGCCATCCCAGCGTGATTATCCTTCGTGTGAGATACACGTGTGCATCAGGACACAGAAAGCTTCACGAGAGGACTGCGGAGTGTTGGCAAACAAAAACAGACACACATACACAAAATATGAGGACTGGCACAAACACACATTTAGTTTGGCTTTGGCAGGAGTTTCTCCAGAGACAGAAGTGTGTGTGGGAGTGCAGGGACAGAGTCTGCAGAACACTGAGCTGTGAGCAACAAAGTTTTTCTACTTCATACATCAAATGTGCCAAAAGGGTCAATATATTGTCTTCAGACATTGTTAAAGAATAATTACAGACATACAGTGTGACAAGTAGGTGTAAACCTGTTATTAAGTAATAATCGGTTGTCAGAGTGGAGGAGTGCAGTTACATGGAGTGGAAATCATGAATCTACTGACTTTAGAAAGACTGTAAAATGACTTGGACTGAAGCCTTTTGACTTGGAATGACTTCCCCAACAACAGCCTATTAAGATGACCGCGGCAATCAACATTAGTGGACAGACAATCGGTGATGACATGAATTATCACACTCTTATAAAAATGACTAAACTGTGGTCAACAGAGAACGTATGGCAACATGAAAAACACGGAGCCTTAAAAAAGACGGAGCTGCGAGGACTGCAAACCCGTGAGATACAGCAGAAAGCTCTTGAAATAGTTCATAAATGCTCCCTGAGGACAAATTGATCAAATTTGAAATGTTATATGTGCAATAAATGCTACATGGACTCCTTGTGAAAGACAACAGAAATCTAAGCACGTAAAAAACTTCTCTAAAAACACCATTTTAAGGTCTTAACCCTCGCAATCCCAAGTGGTTGTTTTCTTGCTCCTGTCCCATTTGAACTCACTGTAGGCTCATTATTTACTGGAAAGAAAGTCCTGCAATTTCACAGAAACAGCAGAACCAGTGCTAGACGAAGAGACAACTCAAAATGTATCTGTGCAATCTAACAAAGTTAAAATGCCATAAATCCACAATAAAAGAAAAAAAAGTTGAAATTCCTTGATCGAAACTTCAACATAATTGTTCCCATGAGCGTTACCGATGCCGGGGGGGAAAAGAAGCCTCCTCACAGCAGAACACAGCTGAACAAACAGGGCCTGCTGCCGAGAAGCATCTCCATATCATGATGCTGCCACCACCATGCTTCACGGTGGGGATGGCGTATATGTGAAGGTTTGGAGTGTTTGGTATTTGCCAAACACGTCATCCGAAGGCCAAAAAGCTCCATTTTTAACTCATCGGACCAAAGAAACTTCTTCCATTACCAAGACATTTGGTACATTTAACTGTTATGTGTGTTGTTAATACTTGGCGGCATTTCTTTCATCATTTAGCTTTTGGGACAGTTTTCCTCCATTAGTTTTGATTTTATTATGATTATTTTGTTAGTTTTAAATTTATTTTTTGGCCTTTTTGCCTTTTTTAAAAATGTGACAGTGCAGTAGAGAGACCGACAGGACAGCTGGGGAGAAGGACCTACGGAAAAGGATCATGAGTGGGATTCGAACTCATGACCTCCACATCGGGGACTAGAGCCCCTGAACATGGACGCCAGCTCAACCAGGTGAGCTGTAGCGGCGGCCATTTTTGATTTTACTATTGGTTCGGATATGAGCTTGAGATTTTACCAGCTGTGTTAAAATAACTCCTCACAACCAGGTAGACACGACGCGATCTCAAACACTAAAAACTACCGCTAAGACACACACAACAACCTCAGAGACACACAACAACCTCAGAGACACACACAACAACCTCAGAGACACACAACAACCTCAGAGACACACAACAACCTCAGACACACACACAACAACCTCAGAGACACACAACAACCTCAGAGACACACACAACAACCTCAGAGACACACAACAACCTCAGAGACACACAACATCCCGAGATATTAGAAATGTTTCACTACTGATATTGTTAATTTGTTTCCGTACTTCTTTCCTATTTGGTCTTTGTAAGCAAAAACAGTTCGACCCAGTTCAACTGTAAGGTCCCTTAGTTTTTGTCACGACTGTTTAGGAAGGAGTGAAGGAGTCATTTGTTGTGTGAATGAAGTGATTAAATACAGTGTCATGTTTTGTAGCTGAGATTTGGTTACGTTTTTCAAAGGAACGGCACATCACGGATAAGCAGTTCACGGACTGTTTGGTGATTTTTTTTAAATACACTTTTAGCCCTGCCAATGGGTTTAGTGGTTTGGACGTTTAATGTCATACACTGTAGATAGATGTGTGGTGAGAAGCTACCGCATGGTCCCTCTGGGAGGCTTCACGCTGATGTTGAGCTCACGTGTGACTGTCATGAAAGCTCTGATGGTAAAGTCATGCAGCCAGGACGGAGCGGTTGTGGCCCGTACAGTAAGCTGCGGTGAGGTTGAGCAGCTTCCCCCCCCACCCTGTGCTGTTGGGGTCTTTGGAGAGAAGAGTCGCTTGGAGATGAGCACGTGTATCATGCTCTTCTCACATGATTCATCTCCACCAGCGAGCAGCCCGAACATGAATTATTCACTCTCTACTGTGACACGGAAGAAAAGCGAGAGGATGGGCGCAGGGGTTGGATGTGGGATAAAATAAGGAATATAGTGCACAGAAAAAGGAAAGTGATCCAGATGAGGGAGTGCCTGAAAAAAAAAGAGGGGCAGAAGTATGGCTGTCATAAAAATGGAGTGGATTAAAGATTAAAGATTTTTTTTTCCCCAAACCTTGCTGTAAGTTTTCAAGCTTCCTGGTTGAGCCAGATCTTAACTCTCCAGCAAAATATTATATACAGCACGGAATCTACCATTTATTAAAGTGATCGCTTCTGGGTTTAGATGTTTGATCAGGCAATCCATAGGAAACCCAGAGGACCTGTAAATGGCAGCAAACTGTGTTAGATGTTAGCACTTTATTAATAAATCAACAAAGAGTGAAGCATCAACGCAGCAGCAAAATACCAGGAATACGCCGCACAGTCTGTGTGTGTGAGACATCAGTGTTGCGGTCTCTTTTGTGTATGATGTAAAAAGGAACATTTTAAACCCAAACAGCAGCAGAGTAACCTACATCAGAGGGCGAATCATCCGCAGATGACGATGCTTTGAGGTCACGAATCTGATGCTCTGACAAATGTGGGCTGAAATTAGAATTTACGACTTCATAGAACACAACCTGCCGACGGCTGTAGGGCGCCACCTCGCTGAACCTTTACCGCATACATGCTGATGTAGATTTATAAACCCTATGACTTTATATGC